ATTAAAGAGGAGGAAATAAAATGATTTCTAGAGCCTATTTGTCGTCAGCCAGGACGAGAAGACCAGGAGGCTGGAACCGTAATGAGTGCAGAAACATACAAATGACAGACGTCAGGAATAGTCGGGGGCTATGGAGTCTGCCTTTTTCGGCACAAGGATGAAAGCAAACTTGGGACAGCGAGGCACACGGAAGGGAAGAGGGACAGAAACTGGCAAAGATCGAACATAAAATCAAACTCAAGCAAGCGACTTAATGAATGTACTACTACTAAGGGCGGGACAAACTCCCAAAGAAACAGCGTTAATAATTTAGTACGAATTTCGGTCGGAGCGAAAAAAGAGGCAGGCTTGAAAAGCACAAAAGTGAAGCCGACACGACCGAAGCCCAGAAAAACGAGGCGGCACTTGTCTTTCGTAACACCGAAGGGCGAATGAAAAAATCTGGAGGCAAATGAGCCAGCGGTTCAGTCGCCGTCCACAACACTATAAAGTGATTAAATGTAATGATCATTAGACTCGGAAAAGTCGAATTCTGATAGACAAATACTTAGTGGCTGGCTGATCACAACCCCTGAAGAAGACAAAAACAGCACACTGTCCTCGAATTTACGAACCAACCTAACGCATTTAACCACATTGAGAGGTACAGATCGAAACATCAGGTCCGTCCAAGATGTTTCTGGGTTTTGGCTAGTCGAGGACGGCAAAAAGTCGGATATGACCATCTCAGTCTTTATTGACTTCTTCGGTGGTACCACCCTCATCGCTATGTAATTCCTGCTAGGATATCAGAATGAACTACTCAGGCAAAACTGAACACCCTTATTTCCAGGAAATTTCGATAATCGCCACTTTCAGGTTAACCTGGTCCTATCCTGCAAAGTTAGTTGAAGTTCGAAGAAAAGGTGTCAAAGAAGATTTAAAAGGAACACTGAGTTCGACGGGTAGATTAGATTGACTCCACTCCAAATTAACGATGAGGAAGGTTAACACTCCTTTGGCCAAGTGATGAAAACATTTAACGACGGAAGAACTTCTACTTGTCCAGCTAACTTTCCTCTTTCCAGTTCCGAACGAATAGCCCAGGGAGCTAGAAAATGTAAGCTGTCAAGTCAACTAATGCCAGAACATCTGTTAGTTACTAAAATTCCGTGAAGTTGGGGAGAATGTAGGATCACTCAGCTGAGGTCAATATGCATTATACCCATCAAGGAGATTGTTCTACGAAGGTCCACGCTACTAAGGACAGACTGCTATTAAACAAGAGAGAATAACGTCTGGGTACATACCCCTTTGTATGAGGCGGATTAAGTGAGATGCAGCGCCCTGCAGAGGAGGAAGGACGGATTTACGAACTACTTAACAAACGAGGATTGAACGCCAAGCTCGGTAAGCGTGTAATAGGTTAATCCAACAATTGCCAAGGAAGAGAAAAATGTGCATCGGAAGACCCCCCTCCCTCTTGTTAGTCCTCATATAAATGAGAACCCTAAATATAATTGGGTGGCAGTGCTACATTTTGGGGATGAAGGTAACAAAAAAACCCAGAAAGGCCATGCTCGTGTGTCCGCCTAATGCCTA